AGATCTCAGCCGGACAGACGGACAAATAGGCTTAGACCAATTCAGATTATGATTCGGATTTGATCTGTATAGTAAAAGGTGGTGTTAAGGCCTTTTCCGTGTTACATACGTCCGCACTAACTTAATATATCCCGTACCACAAGTGGTGTAGGGTATAAAAACAAAAAATAATAGCAACAGCAGCGATAGAAGAATTACAAGAGCATTATCAACCGATAACAAGAACGCATTTCATCGAGGCACAATGAATAATTCATTTTCATATTCATTTTGAGTTTTTTTGTTTTTGTAAACTTCACAGTTTACAACAGTAATCAACTCATTAACAAAAGCCTGACCTTGGTTATCTTCTTTTCTTTGAAGATAAAAAGACTTTGTCGTTAAATTATGTAATTTATTTTCATTTCTAATTGATCGAATTGATCGACCGATTTTAGGAACTACGTAACCAACTAAGTTTGTTTTCAATACCGGGACCGTAACGTTCGTCTTTTACACTAACGTTCATTTTACGATTTGCGCCTATCATCGCGCCTAATTGGCAGTACAGCATTCAGTTCAACTTGCCTTTTATCCACATTATGTGCAATTATGCACTTATCAAGGTGATTAGAACGACAGGAAATTGGCGTTGGCGTATAGCTCAAATGCTACGACCGAAGGTAGACTTTGATAAAAAATTTGAATAATTTTCCATTGTTGGTCAAACACTCGCCACGTTATGTATCGATAGACATGACTTGGCTGAAAAGTCTCAGACTTGAACACAAGATGGCGTCGCTTGACCATAAAAATTGGGGCATATAGTTGCGAATTCGTTGATAAGTAGGTGGTAAAATTTCGCCCATTCTGAGCGTACGAATGCCTTTTGGCAATCGTTTAAGTGAATCGATGTGAGTGCTTTTCTGAAAATGGGAAATATTAATTATTGGGGTGTCACTGTGTGTTTGATATTGAAAAGCAATACACCCACACAAATAAAAGACTTGCTAAGCGCTATATACGGGAAATCCACTGTGAAATTTTGGATGACTGAATTAAAATGGGGCCGCATCAGCGCGGAAGGATGAAAAATTGAATTCGCTAAAAAACATATTGCTCAAGTTGTCTTGAACGAACGTCGAATTGAATTCAGAGGGAAAGCAGAGGCCAAGGGACGTGTTTATCATAAATTAAAGCAAGTTTTAGGCATGACACAACCGATTGAACGCGCGTTAAGTGCCGAGTTTGTTCATGACATAACATGAACACCGACTTGTAACTCAATAAATTTCAAAAGATGGCTCCAGAGAAGGCGATTTTGATCAAATAATGATGTTATTATAAAAACTAAACTACAGCTTTATGAAAGCGTCATCGATTAGTTAGAAAACCTTCAAGCAAGTTGTATCATTCTATAGGAATCAAAGCCGCAGGAGTTGTTTTGGTCCTGCACGTGGTTATAGGTTATTCCTATGTATTCTTTATAGTAGGATAAGTATATTTTACTTCCCATTCATTCTCTTATGTACCAAGCAGTTGCGTGTTCTCTTACGAGTAATAGGTAAGAACTGCAATACGAATATCACCTTCGAAATAAGTCAGCTGACATGTACTTCGAATACGATCAACTGACCGATTTTCAATGCCAATTCGATTTCGAATAGTGGTATAGCGATGAAGAAGATTGGACACCCTCTTCCTTCGGAATCGAATACCGCCGACTAGGTAATGCACCATCGTCCGCTGGACCTACACGCTACAGTTGCCGAATACAAGTCCGTCCGTTCCGTGCGAAGACCACTGACGATAGGTCATTCGAGTTAAGTCTAGGCATTGAAATTAATTAATTTTTTTAACCGCTAAATTCTTTATGAACAATTGCACCTATTTCTCTATTATTCAAACTACATATTTTATCTAGTGCGATAAGTTAATTAATAAAAGGAAACTGAACTGTAACTTCAAGAGATAGTAGAATTTCTACTCAGATGAGGCATATAAGTATCAAAGCTAAGGACTTAGAATAGCGGCTGAGGCATATGCTGGCAACAGAAGTGCAAAATAATTCTATTAAATTTGAAAAAATTACAATCGTCACAGTTCTTGAAGGAGTTGATGTTGATGAATAAAACCGAAAACTATTGCTTTTTCTTACTTAAGTCGGGAACTTTTCAGCTAATCTTTGAACTAAATGTTCGATAGTGTGTATACATTTCATAATGTGCTTAAGTCGATCTCAATTTGACGAGTTGCCTTTATCATTCTGCCGCTTTCCACAGCTCTAAAGCGATAAAAATTTAACTGCCATAGTAAAGGTGAGAATTAATAATTCGTTCTTTTATTATTGGGGAACAAACTGTGTTTGCAAGATTTTCATACATTCGCAACAATAAAAAAAAATAAGAAAGCAAGGATTCTAGAAGAATAATTTTGTTTTCATTTTTTTACCCTCGCATGTCAATTCTCGAAGTCAAAAGAGGCTACAAATTTGTGTGTATAACATGTATGTATATAAATAGCTATATTGCTGCATTTAGCGCCTTAATAGGATGCCTCGCTCAACAAATGTGACAAAGTCAATACAAAAGTATATGCCACAAAATCTAATCTTATATAATGTAAAGGAAAGTAGGTATGTATTGGACATTTTTCCTCCGAGCTTATTAATACTTACGATAATATTCTTGACTTCGTTAAGCGTCATCAGTCAATTGAAAATTTATTGTGTTATTTACCACAGCATACATCAAAAGCGTACAAAACTGTCATAACCAAACTCAAATATATATGACAAAGGATTTTCTCTAATCCCTAGTTTACGAATAATGGCCAGTTTTTATATAACATAGCACTCTGGAAGAGCAAGTGCGCTTTCATCCTACTGCGTTAGAATGCACAAGAATCATTGCACAAGAATTACTTAATTTGGCCCAACAATTAAGCGGTAACAAATAGTAAGGACCAGATACCGCGATATGTTCGTTGAATTTCTAATGGCGACGACAATTGAAAATTTCAATATATTTTTTAAAATAATTTACAACAATTGCTTAAGCGAAAGTGGTTTTCCCAAACAATTTGAAAACAGCAAAAACTAATTTGCTTATCAAAGCCGAATAAAGCTGCGCGTAAACCTGGCTATTATATAATACATGTGATTATATGTCTATATATATATGTGTATGTATGCATGTATATATATGATGTTTAATATATAGTCTTAGCAGATTGTTAAAAACTATCATATCTCGAACAAATAAGTAGTTCCTCGAACAATCAGCTTCAATTTGGAAAGGGTCGCCCCACCATAGATGGAATTCGAATGGGCGCAATGGAAAAATTGAAGTAAAAGAATATAATGCAGTTATTTATAACATTTGAGAATCTTTATCGTATCTTAAATGTCCTGTAAGAAGCTATTTATCACGGAGGGGCTATAATAAAAATTGAATGTTAATAATAGATTCCGCAGGGAAATGTCTTTGGTCCCTTTGGCTTTTTGAAATATTCTTTATGACCAAGCTTTGAGATGGTCGATGCCCTAAAGAGATGGTGTACTATATAGGGAGCCCAAGTTAAAACGAGAAAACGCCGCTTGATAATGTTATACTATCTATAAAGGCCAGCAGGCCGAGTTATACAAGTGCATGCCATGCATTTCGCACTATATTCGCTGTCATAATATATATGATTTCATGCTCGTAATGAAAGTTAACTTAAGCAGAATAAGCCCATCGGGGCAGCTTTAGTATACGCGAAAGCGCCAAACTCTTCGCAAAAATGAAGGACATACGTATTTTGAGGCATGATTTAAATAAATAGTCTAATAGCATGAATGATTATATTTATGTTGTGTCGCGACCTTTATGACTTTTATTCACCATCATGCCTGAGTATAGAACTAACAGCTAAGTATATATTATGCGGCTGCACACGGTACGCGGTTAACGCGTCTTATATAACAGATGTTGGTGAACGATAGCTGCGGCAATGTGTCAGAGATGCCTATGCGAAAATGATGGCCGAGCTGACAAAAGTACAATGCAATGGTCATAGAACGTCGACCCCATCACAAATCATTTCACCGTCGATATCGTCCTTAATGCAAATTCCAGAAGGAATCGAATGCCTGAAAAGTAGAGAGGTTGTGATGCAGGTCTCACATTGGCTCACCACTCGTTAAAAAACATAAGCAAATCGCATAGTGTATAAAAAATTGATTACTTTAATAAAGTGTTTATACTCAGACTGGCGCCAGGGTTATCGTGAAATGCTTAAAGCCTTCATTCAAACAATTAAGTGAGCAATTTAGATTTATGAATATATAAATTTGGTTTACGCGTACCGTAAGTAATGAGAAAAAAAGAAAATTTGTTGTCATTCTTTTCGTTCGTTCAACTCCGTAAGCCACTGTACGAATTTCATCAAAATATCGCAAAAATTGCGACCTGTAGCTTGGACACAAATTACATGGACAGATATAAAACGAACAAACGGATCAAGTTATGACTCTGAATCGATCAGATATGATAAAAGGTACGTCTATATTAAACCTGTCCGCGCTAACTTAATACACCACAAATGGTGTAGCGTTTGCAACGTTGTTATAATGTTTTATTTTTATCATATTTTTTGAATTTCTTGACACTCATACGTCACGTATGCAATACTTTATTATATATATTATATGTCCATATAGGGTTTATACTTTAATGTGCATTTACTACACGATATATTAAGATGCGATATGATAAGAGTGTGTCATGTTTGGGTGCGTGTGTATAAAAGAATTATGGTAAGACGTCTGAAAGGGACCATTGTTATTATTAAAAAGAAATTTTAACACACACGTTATTGCGATGTATTTCGCGTGCCGCTCAAACATTGTTTAATGTTTTATTAAAAATCAAAAATAGATGCTTTGAAGAAAAAAAAACACCTGAGTTATTGGGCCTTTGGCCATTATATCATATATATATAGTTTGATGTGATTGTTTTTTATATGACGGAGTACTTACCGTTTAGCACATGAACACGTACACTGGCAACGTCTGCGTTGGAAGGCGCACATGAATATTTACCCGAGTCGGCCAAATCAGCATTTTGTATGAGCAGAAATGATGTTGTGACATCTCCTTTTTCTGTAATTACCGATACACCGCCCCGTGAGGAATCATAATTAATGACCTGCAAATACATACGTAAATGTGTGCACACATGTAATAGCAATGGCAACAACATTGTAACATTTTATATTTGTGAAAATGTCCTACACACACGTACCATGTATACAGTCGAGCTGGGCACAAAATCACTCGTGTGTGTACACATAACACATTAAAAAAAAAAAAAAACGAAGCAAATTTTCACTAAAACAAAAAAAAAAAGAAAATTAAAAAAAAAAAAACCCACATGATTCACAAACAAACAGTAGATTATATGTTATGCTGTTAAATAGAAGCACAACGAGGATTAAATAAAAGATATCATTTGATTTAGTATTGAAAATGATTTAATTGCGCATAACACAAAAAAAGAGATAATTAAAAAATATTTTACATTTAATTCTTAATTTGTTTTTTTTTTTTTTTTTTTTTGAATTTAATTTTAATACTTTTTTTTCACAGTGTTGCACTTTTGTTTCGTCCATTGTTCAAATGAAAAAAGTTTTTCAATTATCCTTTTTTCCCCTGAAAGTTTATTGACATATTTGGGGGGTTTTTTTTTCTTTTTTTTTTTTTTAATTTTTTTAAAATATCATGAAATTGATCAATTTCATGGAAATTCCTTAAATTGAATAGCACAAATGGCAATTTTAGCGTGCTACGCCCATTGCCATTTAATAGATGGCATTATTTGTGGCTCGCTTTTAACAACCCTGTCTGTCATCCAGATCATTACACGGTCAGTGTAATGTTTGGCATCCATTGAATTTGCTCGAATAGAAAAACAATTTACTATGTTATGTGCATTGCATACCGTTTTTTATAAAGCTTTAATTATGGTTTTACATCTAGAATTACCCTACACTAGTCATATCCCTAATTTTAATAGTAGTACTCATAAAAATATTAGCTATTTCACGGGACGTACTGGCAGCACGAGACCAACTAATGACCGTAAGGTTGATATGCCTTGAAATTAAAGGATAATGACTTTTTTTATTCCAATTTCAGAAACACTTCCGAATTCCAGGCATTGCGTTAATTGTTATGAGTCTAAGTTTAAGTTCTTCGTTCGGGGGTGACTTACCTTTAGAACTATTCTTACTGGCAGAATTTACATTCTTTCAGCAATTTCTTTTTCTTCTTATGTCTTTTACAAAAGCCGAATGATTATCACGTATGCCCTAAGCTTTTGATAAGTTTACGATAAGACCTGCCAAGGTCAATGCTTGGTAATTAAAACTGTTTTTCATCTTCCAACAAAGTTGCCTCTCTTTTCCATTTAGACAATTTCCATTTTTTAATAGAACAAGTGAGACTTTAAATGAAACAAACTCGAATAAGGAAAATATTGTAACACTACATGAGGGAGTCTAACGATATCCGCCACCTATCATTAAATAAAATGCATGCATTACAGCATTTTCGAAAAAACTGACTACAACTGACAACAAGATGCTTTAGTCAAATTCTGTTTACGAAAAGTCATTATGCAGATAACGCACACACTCAAAGAAAATTTAGTGCTTTTTGGCAAAAGCATAAGACGATCGAGATGAAAGTGTAAACTTTAATCTGTTAAGCAACAACAATCCAGCAGCTGAGTTCTATGAGATTTCTAAAATATTATATCATATAATGGACTTTTCATTTTTAATGCAATTTCTGCTTTCCTTTTTACTTTCCTTTAAATCACAACTTCGAGGTCAGTTACTCAAAGGTAACTAACTCACTTAGTTTATCTAGGTATGAACATCAGTGTTTATATATTATAATATGTTTATATATCTCATTTAGCAATGAATTAGCCATCATCTAGTAAAAAGCAATCTCTTTGTACATAATCTTGGATGGCAATGCTTTCTTTAAGCTTAATAGTTTCTATGGCTTATGATACATACATCAGCGTTCACCACCGAGTGTCTACCATGCTTACCGAGTCGCTTTGTCTTCGTTGCCAATTGCTATGAAGCTCAACGCATCGAATCATTAAACGAAAATCATTACTCTACGTTTATTGCAGCGCTGTGGAGTAAGCCTCATCACGAGTTGGACTTGTTCTGCTTGCTCATGATGCAAAAATCACTTATTTAAGGAGTAGCATCACTGTAGGTTTTTCGAAGACCATTCTTTTAAAATATGCGGACAAGAAATTTTTGGGTTATCGTTTTTGAAATTTTGATCCCTTCGCCAAATGCTGTGAAAAGATTAACTTTATTAAATGACTCCCTACTCCCTACTAGGATTCATATTGATTTCTAACTTCACTATTTAATTAGGAAAATGTCTTCGCCAAACATTTATGTTTTTTTTAAAGTATTTTGTGAGAAGAATACTTTAACGACCGTTGAATTGACTTGAGGCTAACAGCGATTCGAAAGGGGTCAGGACTTCTGGCAAGCAATTGAAAGTATGCGATAAACCTTTTCGTGTTAACTATATGTTTGGAAATCTGCCACATTTATTTACCCTGACGAACAAGAAAATCGTATTCGGCCATGGCCGAATCGTCTATGCATTTCATTCGACGCTATATGCAGACGTTCCTCGTACAACACGGTTAATTTGTGCCGCGTCTTATTATACGAAACTTTTCATTTATTTATTTAACCGAAGATTTAATGTAATATTGAATCGGAATGGCTGATCTTTTCATTACTGAATTGCTCATATTATTGGATCACCTACACGCATGTATATGTACGTTCATATTTTTATCGATATATTTGCTACAGTTTATGATAATGAACAAAGAATCCATTTGCTTCTTCTTAGGTGTTAAAATAAGTGTTCGCCCCTTTCTGAGAAACGATGTAAATGGTACCGTAGAGTGCTGCCTTTGTAAATTGTATAAGTTATCACAGTCAAGCGAGCATAAAGTAGTCTTTTAGAGCTTTGAATAGGCTTAGCCCTAAGCCAAAAAAAAAGAAAAAAAACTTCATTTGCGGGAAACTTTCCTCTTTCTACTTAACTCAGGATAATGCTGTTAAATCGTCACAAGTAATGAAAAGTGTACGCTTTACAATATTTGAGGCCCAACTAATCGTTGTGCAGAGTAAGCAAACCATCAACATCAATAATAAAATTGCACAATAAATAAAGCACATTAAACTCACTATATTGTCAGATTTTAGTATAAAAAATCTCGATCCTATACTATATAAGAAAAAAGATGCTTAGAATATGTTGCCAGTTGTAAACTAAAATACCTCATCTCTCCCGCCATTATCAGTAGACATTCAACAATTGACTGATTGTATGCTCAAACGTGGCTGCGAATCTGATGATGTAACCCAAATAACCTATGGGTTATCTTGTGAATAGCTCTAAGCGAACAGTTGTACATATCGCACCCCATTCATGGTCATGATGAAAGAGATAATAGCTACGTTTGGACAATAGATTAAAAAAGAAAGCAAATCCATTTTCCTTCAAATATATAGATGTATCTATGGACCCCACTATATATATGTATTTATGCGGTTTTTTGCTTTTCTATTAATATACGTCCGTTTAGTAACGGATGATGTTGTACGCAATAAGTTTTCAAAATAACTTGGAAACATTTTCTTTTTCTTTTCTTCTTTTTTTTTTTTTTTTTTTTTGCTTAATGATCCTTGGGCTTGAAATGTATAATGTAGACCCTTTTATCGCTTTTTAAATTTAGTGTTTATGACACTTTCTGCCAACCTCAAACATTGTTAGGGTTAACAATGTGTTTATACAGGAAAAATTTTCTATATCGACCGTCATATTGACGATAATAATAATCAGTATGAGTAGAATAATGGCATGCATGAGAAAGGATAATGATTCCTATCATCCTTTTACTGAAAATTTTACAGTTCATTAATAAGTTTTTAGTTTTGGTTCTTAAATTTTTCCTAGACATACGAATATTTAAAATAATATATGCCAGCGGTTCGTAATTTGATATTGAAATGAACATGGCAAAGTAGAGGAAATAGAAGAAGAAAAACGGGCAAATGGGCGGTATCAAATTCATATTAAATTGCCCACATTTTTTACAAGCTTCACTTATTTACGCTGATATATATATATATATATATATACATACACACACACACACACGCACAGAGAGATGTATTTAACAAAGATAACGACATTAAAATTTTCACACCACATCAATTAAAGTCCCATCATTATGGGAATACCGTTTAAATCGTTATATTAAACAGTCGCCACTGCCATTGCCATTGTAGGCGACCGCGTAATATTATCACAATCTATACGTGTTATACATATTGTATTGTACATATTCTATATATGCTATACATATATATGAATAGTGTATATATATATATATATATATATATATATATAGATATATGGATATTACATATACATGTGGTTCAGTTTTTATAAAGTAGTTGTAAGCTGTAAGCTAATTGTTTGCATGGATAACACACGCACGCATATGCATATATGTATTATGTATGTTGAATGCATATTTTGAAACATTTAAAACAGGAGGTATTTTCGTTGTACTCGCCCTCAAGCCGGTGCATAAAAATCACAAAATCGTTTCGCTAATTATGCGCAAACCTTTAATCGATCAAAATAATTTTCACTGTAAACTTCTGGAATAATTTTATAGTTTTCGGGGATGGTCGCCCTCTAACACTCTTCCCCTTTCACTACAAGAATGCAATATTTAACCATGAGACTGGGAACTGGAAAGCCTCTTCTTCTTCCTCCAAAATGTAATGCAATAGTTTTCATTAAGCTTACGACGATTTTTTTTTTGTTTTAATATTTTCATTGCTTTTTTTCATAAGAGAAATTTTTGTTACACTTTAACTCGAAAGTAAAGGGTAGTTTTACAAATTAAGCAAACAAAAAAGGAAGCGTAACATATATGAAAAGCAGAAAGTTTGCAGTTATAAGTAGTTATGATCATACTTTTACATTATTCTTATATCAATTATAAGAATAAAAAGTGTTTTCTGTTTTTTTTTTTTTTTCAATATTACGGTCAAAAGAAAGAAAAACAATTGCAGT